TGCCTACATAGCAAGCTGGAAGACTTGGACATAGCTAATCAATAAAACATGTATCCTTACCCTTCGTAGGAGCACAAGAGTGCAAAAAAAAAAAATTAAATAAAAAATGCAATCTTTGAGCTTGTTAGAAGAGCGACCACATATGTTCACTACCTGGCTTGTTATTCCGATACATAATTCCCAGAGAATTTCCTAAATTTCAAATTGGTGAATTGATGAATACAAAGGCACCTTTTTCCCCACAAAGGATATGGATTTTATCAATGGTAATCAATGGTAAAATTGATAGCAATGTTAAAACATAAATAGCTTCTCTTTGTATTTTGCTACCATGTAACTTCTGTTCACATAGCTCTATTGCTGGAAAATCATATTCTACTGCAGCTGCTTTAGTTTATTCAAGTTGTGTATAGGGAATGAGGACCGTTGGTAAGAGAAAATGAAAGAAAAGTTTAGTCTTCTGTTTTGTCATTATGAAGTTGTTGAACCATTTTTTAGAAAGACTTTTGTTAGTAACTCAACCATTTTCCCTGTTTCATTTTAGAAATAAAATACTGCATTATTATTTCCACTGCACTGTGTGTCCAGGATGTCTGGAAAGATGTAAACTTTCTTTTTTGACACTGCTGACACTGCCAAAATATACGTAAACATATATGTATATGTACAATATATGTATAACAACATATGTACCTTCAAGTCATCAATTTATTTTTTGTACTTTTTAAAATCTTTTTAGCTCACCAGAAAATTGCCTAGCAGTTAATTTCTTTTTTTTTTTTTGCAAAAGCCTATCTTTTTGGGATTTTAGTAGATCTAGCACTATATGTTTATAGTATATATGTATAACATGCACGCAACATTCCAGCCATATTACATACCACTTTAGAATCTGACACAAAGACTTTCATATCAATCTTCATAGATTCATTCATATCCACCGGAATCTTAGCTATTTAGTAAAAGAAGAACAGACTAAATTTCAGTCTCTAGATGTGTAAAAAAAAATTTCTTTCAGTTTATGAAGCTGGTCTGTTGTCATTGCTATAATTATATGTATGTATGTTTATCTATAACGGCAAGTATAAAAGCACTTTGTTTCCAGGGGAAATAAACAAAATCAGCAAAAATTTCATTTTGCCAAACATTGAAATGAAGCAAAATGCTCCTGGTAAGAATGATCTATTGCTTGCGGTCAGCTAAAGATCTAGTAAACTGGCTTGAAGAAGAATCCCACTAACAGAGGACTGAAGGCAGATCTCAGCATCTGGCATGAAGATATGACCTGCATCGAGGGGGCTGACAGGATGAACAAAACTAAGTTCTGAACTCTTAATCTAATGCAATATAGACTTGATTCAAAATTAATTATAAATCTAACATACATCCTTTCAGTCATGTAAAATCACAGGATTAAAAAAGGGGTTCAAGGTTCTTAGTTTTCCTTCTGCATGACCAAAACATGAGCATGATCTGGGTCAAGAACTGCTCTTTGAGTTGAATTGCTAGTTTTTAATGCTAAAGAGCAATTCACTGGTTCCCTCAACTCTGTGTGACCCCAAATAGACCCGGCTGTGGGCTTTTAAGAGGTTTTACAACAGTTCACATTTTGTTACAAAGGTCCAGGGAATAAAAAGCAAAATACTTAAAATAGCAGGCAGATAAAATCATATGCTAAAAATCTAGAAATAAACCTCACAGATATATTCTGGGAAAAAAACTGATCTAAAAAAACTGTGTACACTATCCAACAAATAAAATCGAGCACCCTTTCTGTGTCAGAAGATAGTGAAAATGTAAACTCAAATCATAATAGAGGTTGCAAAAACATATTAGTGTTTGTTCTAAATAACTAGTGCATCAAAACCAGCAACGTCATCTTATAAAATCTGTTATTCATTATTTCTCAGCTTGTTACTCTTAATATCTGAGAAGAGGATTATTTAAATTCAAGACAGGTTTGTGATTTATTTTATACATTTCTTTTTACATGAATCTGTTGCACTCATTCTTCAAATCGCCATGTTTCGTTCCCCAGTAACCTTAAAAAAATGGCAACATGTCAATACTGTAACTTTATATTCCAATGTGGTTCTAGATGAAAAAAGGGCTGTAAACTAATCTTCATGTTCCTTTTTAACAATAGAGTTACTTAGCACTATAAGCAGAGCATGTTTTATTATGGGAAGCAGGTAAATCATGCTTAAACCCCCCACTTAGACTTGTAGAGAAAGGATAGAAGGAACGAGAAAATTTTTTGTCCTAAAACCTGTCAGAATGATTGTTTCCTTCAACAGCGACATTTAAAACAATTTGAAAAAGAATTTATGCCAAAACTATAAAAATGATTTTATTTTGTTTCTTCAATTACGTTGAAAGTATTGCAAGACAGGTTTTATCTTTAAGCAATGTATGCAGTCGAGTCCTAAAAAAAAGTTTTCTGTTTGATCAATGGCTCTAATACTAATTACCTACAATATATTGAATGCAACACAAAGACATTTTGCATTAATAAATGGGCATTTTTTCCATTAGATTACGGCGATCTGATATCTAAAGAGCAGGAAGCATAATCTTGTCTGCTAATGTTATGTAACCACCCTCTTTTATACTTTGAAATCTATGTACTCTGTGTAAATCATCTCTGTGACTGAAGAAAACCTTCAGTTTGATTTAGGAGAACAATAATGTGAAGTAATACATTTTTTGGATTGCATTACTCAAAGTATGATCAAATCCTATGGGCAGGAATGGAAATTTACTGATAGAGCCAGCATACCTATTCACTTTTTTATCATTGTTAATAATCATTGTTTATTAATGTTTTCATTAATAAATCATTGTTTAACATAGATAAAAGTACTAGATTTGCCTAATGTATTTAAACGCTTCTTCTATCTGTAAGATGTAAATTAATGCAGCAAGACTTGATCAGATTGTCTAGCGCATACCTGCATTGTTGCATAGTATTAGAGCGTGCTGTGATTGCAAAATTAAAGAATACAATTTGCATTAAAATGAATCCCTTCTACAATAGCAGGGCTGCACATCACTTTAGTATCCCTGCAAAAGGATGACTCATGTAACCACATCAGTGGCATCAGATCATGATAATTAGAGTTGTTGTGACACTTGCAAGCTGTTCCAGGTCGAAGGGCATGCTAAGGAGCTGTGTGCCTCCAAACTGTGGCATTTACTTACCATTATGCAAATGTATTCGGACAACCTGCTTTCAGGCTCTATAGACAGGTTGTGTATATTAAAAACATTTTTTTTTTTCTTTCATTTTATTATAGTAATAGCAAGCAGGGCATGAATGTTGGATGAAAAGACTCCTGGTTTGAATTTCAATTGTATCTGTCTGAGAAAATTATACATTAGAATTCAAGCTGTTAAAAAAAGGGGAGAATTTTATTGAGGCACTACTGCCCCCTGCTGTTTACTGTGTGTGTATACATTTCTCCTTTATTCTACCCTCTGTTTGCCTTTTTAGTGTTTTACATCAATTTTGATTTTTTTTTTATTCTGGAATCTTAAACACTGACTTTACTTGCAGCATGCAGTGCTTTAGATACTGATTTATGCCATTTTTGAAGCGTCCTGAACGAGTTGTATAAATGGGAGTAATTTCAGCAGGATGGCCATTGATATAAAGGGTCAATTCTGTCATGTTTTCTTTCATAGCTCTTACTGTTTGTTGGAGGGCTAGAATCTAGAAGTGCCTTTGCAGACTTTTCTGAGCTAATACAATACACATTCAATATTCAAATAGATTTCTTGATACCAAGTCTGATTGAACAAAAATAATGAAATTCAGACAAAAACAGAACAGTCACCTTTTTATGGTTGCTTCATGAACACTGACCTCAATGAAGGCAAGGGCGGTTTGCAATGCTTTGGAGGTTTGTCTGGATTTTATGACTTTTTCTCTGGAGTTAGGCTGTTAATTTTATTTCTCTTATGCGAATGCAGTCAAAGCCTTAGAAATAACATTGCAATCATTCTCAGACAGATGTTACCATTTCTATTTTTTTCTACACTAGTCAATTCTGGACATAAGTTGCATTTCTTTATCTTTTTAAAAGAATACTTGTTTTAGGAGATCTAGCAATTTACGTCCTGCATGTCCAGCAGGAATTAGGCCTGGCCAAGACAACTGAAACTGACCTTAACCTTAATTGCAATGTCCTTAACCAATAAAAACAGCAGAAAATGTTAATTTATGATGAATAGCTGGGTGGAGATACTGGCCTGTTAGGCTGTTTTCCTTTGTAATTATTAGAAATGTGCTTTTCTATTAATGCACGTCATCCACATGTTTAATATGTGATGTGACGGCTAAAACAGAACAGATCTTTGGAGGGGAAAATGCGTTTTACGCAGCACCTTTATAAGAACTGACAAAAACAACAAAATGCATTTCTCCAATAGTCTGTTGGCATTTCACTGTGATCTTCAGAGCAGAAATAACCTGGGAGAAAAATTCTCCCAATCAGATGCTTTATATGAACTGATTTTTGAGCAGGTCAAGACTGAACAGCAGAACAATCCATCAAACAATTTAAAGTCTGCTACCTAAAAAACAATTGAAGTTATTATAGGTCTGACTGCACAATAGTTCACAGTAACATCAGTTCTATAAAGCTGTGCACACTGATGCATCATCTGTAATTCTAGTCCAGTTTGGAAACAGTTTTGCCATAAATTCCACCTGGTTTTTCATTATATAAAGCACTTTGAATTGTATTGAGGTCAGAACGTGATATACACATAACCTTGACTTATCACACATTCTCATCATTAAACATTTAAATCATCAATACTGACATTCCTTTTCGTATTACCCTCGCTTTATCTTTATATACTAAAAGGTAAAAAACAGATTAAGTGAAAGTCAGTCATAAATTGTGGCTATTAATATTCCAGCTCTTTGTGGCATTTGAAGAATACACAAACATGCTGTGCTAGAAAACTTTCACACACTGACATTTCCCACTAAAAGGGTGGGCAAATTTATTCCACTCCACTTCTGTGATGGACTTCCTGATGTGCTTTAATAGCAACCTTCACTTTTATTGAAGAGCATTAGATTACAATCACAGGACTAAGTTAAAATTCAAGTGCACCTTTAATTTATTCATTATCTATATGAGGCAATATAATAGATTCATCGTGATTGGCATATAAAATATTTACACGGATATCGATTTCATAAAAATGACAGATCCTGCAGAAAAGTACATGTGCTTATATGTGGAAAGCGGCAAGATTGCAGCAACCTTCAAGAGTAATTCTTCATGGAACAATCACTTATTCTGAGTATTGACTTAGTAATACAGTTCATAGCAAATCATTCGCACAGCTTAAAGCATAAATCAAGCCCATAGACTACGAAAGGCAGCAGGTGGATTGTTTAGTCTCCCTTCCCTAAAGAGAAAGCAAAAGAAAATATGTTAGAAACAGTGAGTTCTCATCCACAGATTTCAAAAATCTATTAAGAATTTATTACAAATTAGCCCTGCATCTGGCGCCTAAAACAAACTGAAAAATTCCTAAGAGGATGTGTTGCCATGACAACTGAGTACCTACATGTGTTCCAGTAAGCATGCTACTGGTGCCTAAGCTTGCCGGGTACCTGTTGTCTCTGTTGTTGACGTCTGTATTCTTCTTCGCTGGCAGCGAGAGCCTGAGCCAGAGCCAGATCCTCCTGCTCCTGAGGGCTGAGAGGAAAAATACCCGAGTGAAAACAAAACAAAGACTAGAGAGAATAACTGACTGTGGATCTCTTATTCCAATTTAAGTGTAACGTTATTCAAATGATTTATGCAACACCAGCTTTTTTTGTAATGCATATACAACAGTACTACACATTCAGGCGTTTTTGGATGTTTAACAGAATAACTCTTCATATTTTTTGTTAACTCAAGTTCTCTGCTTCGCATTAAGGCAAAAGTCCAAGTAAAACATTTTTTCAATGCAATATTGGCAATGCAGTACATCATAACATGAATGCATATCTTAAACATAAATGCTGTTTGCATTTTACACTCCTGTATAACGCCATGAAAATGTATTCTCACGTACATACTTTTTGTCCGATTACAATACATGTAGCTATATCTGGCTATGATATTTTGTGACTAACTAACCCAAAGTAACAAATACTTCAAGGATTATAGGAAACAGATTTTTTTTTAACAAAACATTTACAGACAAATCTTAAAGGTGCGGCATGCACTTTATTAGGCCCCTGAATTTCAGAAAACAGAGTAATTTAGGTCCCCTAGCGTATCATTTTATCATTATTAAACGATCTCCACAGCAGCGATGGACAGAGTTTGGCCACTCTGATAACAGCCGCTAACAGAACAAAATTTTCCTTTAGCTGAAGAGGGTTTTTGCCATCTTTGAAAACAAGCAGACCCTTCAAGTTCTAAGTTTTAACCTAAAACAAGGCCTTGTTTGTGGTCCACTCTATAAAACCTCAAACTCAATGCTATTTCTGACATTTTTTATTGAAAAAGCTTCCTGGATGGAAAGTGAAACATCTTCAAACTTGGAAACAAAGTCCAGTGGATTGTTTTTATAACTTTTTTGGAACAGTCTAAGTTGTTGAAACCTAACAAGGTTTACTAGTGTGTCCCTGTCTATGTGTGCAAGTTGCCAAATGTCCATAATAGTATCAGCTTATTACTTATGCACATGAAAAGACACGGTTTTGTGATATGCATTTTTACCACCAAGCAGCAGCTACCATCTGACAGCAGTTTGTAAACCTCAACAACAAGCAGCTAGAGATGTCTTAATATCAACGTAAGACATACATACTTTTAGCACGCATTTTGTAGTGTGGTGTGTTGGAAAAGGCTCAATCAAGTGATTTTACTCAAAACAAAAGTCAACATGAATGGGTATCCAAATAACTGAAACATATATTGTTAACCAATATCTGAGATAAACTTTTAACAGAAGCAGATAGGATCAGGTGTTTCTATCCTACTAAGGTATATGTACGGGATCTCAGTAATCCAGTTCATGGTCAAGCATTAAAACTTTAGGCAACTGGACAAGACGTTTTCTAGAAGAAACTGGTTTTTACCTACTAAGAATGTTTCACATGGTACTTGTTTAACTGTGAAATGTGTGCTATGCAGCTGAGTGTGATTTCATGACCAAAATACAATCCCTACAAAACAATCCCAATCAAAACTTTAAATGAATCATGAACTGAAATATGTGGTTAAACAGGCAAAGCAGTGATGCATGATCAGAGATACTATTAAAGCGTAGTAAACGTAGCAATAAGTACTGCCTCCCAATCAAACCATCTCATATGTTTGTACAGGGGCTGCTCCATTATGGCAAACATTTATAAAATATAATAAAATTGAGATCTTGATTCTTTAACACAATTATTCATAAACTTTAACATGAAATTATTGAACAGGTTATAAATAATGTTGTCTTTTGGATGTCAAACATTTTAAAAAACAGACCAATTTCTCCAAATGGGACACAAATTTCTTAAAGTTTTGTCTTGACGGTGTTTATTCTAGAGGGGTGGCAGGTAGTGATGGGTTCATGAGGCGTCATGAAGGCCCAATCCCAAACTGGCCCCTAAACATTAACCCTAAGCACTAACTCTCTGTTTGAGCGTTCCTGTGGAGGGACTAAGTGCCGAACGAAACCACGTAGCGGGCAGGGCGAGTGGAACGTTCAGCCCTTAAATAGTGACTCTCCATCAGATACAGGCTCGCTGGAAATCGGCAGCAAATGTAACAGCGGCTTGGTGGCAAAGTTAACATGTTTTGCCAAATGTAAGTTCCACTGGTTTGCTTAATCTTCGTCACATTGACAGAAAATCGGGGCGGTTTGGGATCCAGCCGAAGTATTTCAATACATTTGCACCAACACCTGCCTGACATTAAAAATAAATACATGCAGCCTCTGATAGACTAAACTGACACTAATTTGATGACCTATAATATGATTCAAGAAACTGTTTGCTATAATGTATTCCATCGTTTGAATAGAAAATGTTTGATATTTTTAGATGCAATCCACAAATGTGAACATACAACAGGAAAACTTAAGTGAACATGTGAATAAGGATGATTTCAGACTAGGAGTTATTTATTTATTTCAAATAATAACTAGAGTAAGGACAGAAAAGACTCCATTTGAAATCAATTTAAATTTAGATAAATTAAGCGATAACTGAGAGCAGCAGGATGACATAACAAGAATATTAAAACAAATATGAGATCAAAATGGTCCCAATAGGCTGAAACCTTTTTGCCTTAAGGCTACTCCATCTTCCCTGATCAAATTGATGATAATCTGCAATAGATCAGAGACTCTTTGCTCTGCATTGACAGATGCACTTATAAACACAGTTTAGTGCGTCAGTCAGTCCAGAACACCTCCTGTATTGTTTCTTTCTTTAAACAATACATGCACAGTTGCAGGTTTTTGACGTTAGATCCTGACGAGGGGGGGGGTTCATATTTGATGTTAAATATTTGCTAACGGCTGCAGTGGCCTGATGTCCTGATGGGTGCTTCCTTCATTTCATTTAACCTCTGGCTTTATGACCAGCTTTGATTCTGCCTGTATGAACCTTCGGGCTCCTCCAGAGCTACGACACAAAGCATCAACAGCCAAAGAGGAGTTCAGAGACACGCAGCAGTCTGTTGGTCCAGAAGTAAACTTCTCTGAAGGACGCTGTGATGTTGAACTGAACGTAGCCAATAATTGAATTATATTTGTAAGTTAAATATTATCTTGAACGCTGCATGGTTACATCTCTGCACCAGTTTATGATGTCCATTAGCAGCGAGGGCCGCTTGATTTACAACAGGAAATTAACAAGAGAGTAAAGCAGCAAAATAATCGATCATTTCCTTTTTATAATCGCTGAAAATCTAGATTCCAATAGAGATTAAAATATGAAACCGCATTTTGTACATGACTCTGAACGATTTTCTTTTATTAAGGAAGAAATAATTGAAAAGATGCTGTGCATTTCAATTAACATACAGACGTGCATAAAACCACCTAAATGCTTAAAAAAAACTTTGTTTTCTGGAAATATAAGAATTTCAAAGAGGCAAAAATCTTCAGAAAAATGTTATTGAATATGCTAACAGTTGACAGCAACAAAGGGAACGTCACCTTTCATTTGATCTGGTAAACCGTCATGTGCCTGATCAGCAAAAACAGCTCCTGACTCCAAGATGCTCTCAGAGTTCTGGATATCGGCAAAGAAGGAATGGGGTTATCAAAGGATGCTATAAAGGAGCCATTCCCAACAAGGGGTACTTGCACCCCTAGTGGTCTACGGGTGCATTGCAATGGGTACGTGAAGAAATTCTATTTCTTAGTTAATAAAATAAATCAGGGCTGGGATCTTTTCTACTTTGAGAGGACCCAACTAAAAAATAAAACTAGCTTTTTCAACCAAAAACTAAGCTTTTCTTATATGCTTGAGTTCCTTCAGCTGTGACATCTGAGATCATCAAAGCAACTCAGGTGTCATGAATGTTGAAAACAAAGTAAAACAAATGGAGTGAGTCTGACTATAACTTTTGTTCAGTATTTTGTCCCATTGTGATTATAAGGGAGTTACTCGGAGGAGCTCCAGATTTATAATAGATTATAATAGATATAAAAGATTCATAATATGATTCTATTTTGTATTTATTTTTATTCCTTACTAGCTTCCTGGTGACATATTTATTATGCTTTTTTTTGTTTTTATTTGAGTTGGAAAGAATAATATGCCAAAGAATTAAATGCTCAAGTTAAAAAGATTAAACAAAATGCTTTTTATTCTATAATTAATTATCGTTCATTCCATTACATAATTACTGCACATTTTGGACAGACATTCATTCTTTTGTCTAAGGGGGTACTCATGGTAAGACAGTACCATGAGTTATAAAGGGCTGTTGATGTTTTGGTCCAACTAAATTTATGAAAATTTTTCCGACTCGATTCTATATTGTAAATAAATTGAAATGACAAAACATGAAGGAGGATCTCTAATTCAGAATCTCGCAAAACCAAACCCAGAAAGAGCTTGCTATGTACAAACCATGATGTCCACAACTCTCACCAAGAAAACCCCTGGAATTCTGCTGCTCATGCATATTTCATTGCCATGATGTGCCTCAAAGTCATGAGATCTATGTACAAGCATGGAATGTGAATTATGGATGGTCCACAGACTGATGAAACCCAATGTTTTCAGACAGTAGGTGAAATAGTCCTAAAGAAGGAAATCCCCAGAGGAAGGACTATCCCTGGGTCCCATTTAAAAACATTCTTCCCACTGGGATTAACCCTCCCATTCTGAGGCAATGCCGTTGAGAGCCCTTGCACACTTAATGTCAAACTTGCCTGCAAGCCAACAAAATTCTTCATTCAAACTTTGATCCAAACTGGATCAAACAGGAGACGGCTAGAGAGACAAACAATCTGCATCTTTCTTTAGGTTTTGCAGGTAAGACTTGAACAAAAAACCCAGCAGACTGATTAAAAGCAGTGTTCTCATTTCATGACAGTCACAGAGCCGAGGACAGTACAGAGCCTGCCTACCACTAATCGTTAACTTTTATGTGTTTGAAACACTTTTATCTTTCTTGTTCACCGACGAATGCTGTCTGCAACGCCAAGGTCCTTCCAAACGTGTCAGGAAAGGAAAAAACTAATTGAAATGTGTTTGAAATCCATATAATAATTTAATCTACCATGAAATGCTGCAAACATTTCGCAATTTGATTTCAAAACTGTCACAGAAAGTTAATAAAAGAGCTGGAGCTTCACCAAGATGCCTTTCTATCACCTTATTGGGGTTTTCGCAGCGCATTTCAGCATAATGGCCCATTATGCTGTCAGTTGTCAAAATTATGCTGTAATTAGGCCGTTAAAATGTCTGTCATGAAGCATAACAACTGGAAATATATATATTTTTTTGTTTTAACACACAGACATTTACCTACTTATTTGCAAATATACCTACGAAACTTGTTTGTTGGTGGACCTAAAATCTTAGCTATAAAAACAGGATATTTTGACATTTACAAGCATGTGTGCTTGTTTACAGTAGGCATGGTGTCTAGGTGCAGCTTCTCCGTACCCTTAACCCTTTAAGTGAGAGGCTGTCCCAATCCTTCAGTCACGACATGTAATGAATGTATGTGTTCAGGGTTAACATCATCATAAAATTTATTTGCCTCTGTAAATTAGGGCAGATCTCATTGTCAGGGCAACCATCAATTTGCAATATGAGCACCCTTTGAAACAACAAACTTTATAGGCTAAACAAAAACAAATGTGCATACTTTGTCACAGAGGCAAACAATAGAACAGGTGGACTGCTTTTCAAGTTTTTGAATCCAGGATATTATATGCATTAAATTATCTTAAAACTTAATTTGCTTCAGATGATCTGTGATGTCAGCTGCACCTCTAGCAACAAAGTCGTCTGTCTCCGTCCTTAAGAGTCACGGATTTAGCCATTAATGGTAAAAAATGAAATAGCAGCAGAAAACATGAGAAACAACAACTCACACTTTTACATTGTTGCTGTTCCTCGTTCAAAGATTACTATGAATTCTATCAAAACACACGCATTAGCAGCAGCTACACTACTCCCTCCTGTGCAGCCATGTCTATTTTGGAGCAGCTACTGCTGTTGTCGCGCCTTATACCATAAAACTGCAATATGATTGGCTGATTGGGTCGGGCTCAAACAGTTGAAGCAGGAGCAAGACAAGATTGATTCTTGTGTTTGTGAATGTACAAATACTATGTGAATTCACCAAAGGTTACATATTTTATGCATTTACTTGACTTTGAAAGTATAAAAAAAATAAAAATCAGGGTACAGGAGTTTCAAGTAAAAAAAAAAAAAATAAAACAATGTAGGAAGTTTCAGTGGAATTTTGTTAAAATATTGATTCAGTATCTCACCTTAGGGTCGGCTGAACAGCTGGCCTTGTTTCAGCCAAGGACATCTCTAGAGCTCTTTGTAAAGCCTGCTCCTCTGTCTAAAGTAACAAAGAACAAGCAGACTTTATTATACTATTATATTGCCTTAAATAAGCTAATTTAATCATAGCTCTGTTTACCATGTTTGCCTGAAATGATGCTGAAGGGGGTATTACATTCTGTGCTGAAACGGATGTAGGAATCCGTGGGGTAGAGCTGAGGAGCACAGAGAGCAAATTACTATCTGTTTTAAAAGTAATAATACGTCCATTAGTGAACAAAACACTCACCCTGAGCTGTGAGCTCTACTATTTATGGTTGAACCGTTAGAAACGGGTCTGGGGTTTCCTGAAGCAGATGAACGAGAACTAGAGGCAGAAGAGGAGGAAGCACCTCGGGACCTCATTAAAGCAGCATTTCTATAGAAAATAACCAAAAATAGAATAAGTCACCAGCTATGGGACAGACTAAATTAAAGCAAAGCTTCCAAATACTAAGCTTAACTGTACCCACCCAGACTTGGAAAGAGGCTTTCCATCCGTCTTACAATCGTGGTCTAGAGGGTGGCGATGTTTGAGACAGTAATTTAAATGACACTGATCGCAGGTGACTCGTATCATTTCCTTTTGTTTACAGCCACCTTTAGAACATTTATTGGTGAATATCTGTAAAATAGAAAAAAATAATAAAAATAACGTATTATTGTTGTTGATTCCAACAAGTAAAAGGTAAGTGCATCTCTGCTATCTTTACCTTTCTCTTCCTTTGCGCCGGGTCCGATTTGCAATCCCGGTCGATGTGCTCCCCAACTTTAATGTCAGGCATCTCTCCTCTTTTTATGGGAATAGGAGTGTTACACAATGGGCAAACTGGTACCTGGACATCCTATAAGAAAACACACAACAAGGTTAAAAAAAATAACATACCTTTACTATTTGTAAAGTCTTTAAAAGAAATTAAATTTTACTCTAGAAAAGGGGCTGAATCTTGTTGAAAGTAAAACATAATACTCATCCATGAGAGCCTTTCCCCATAACTGCTTGGTAAAACAGTTTAATAGAACAATCATCAAGCTAAGACGATTGCTATGGTTAGTTTAATAAGAGCAGCTTATTTATTAGCTGTTTCACTATATAAGAAAGCTAATATCATATGGAACGTTTAATTTCCATAAAGATTCAGAAAAATGAACCATGATAATTGCATTTTAAAAAAAGAAAAAAACTTCTGCACAATATCGTGTTTAGGGATGAGAATCGAAAACCGGCTCCTGTTCAGAACCGGTTCCGTATTTTCCGATTCCATGGCATCGTTTGGCAGCTCGCTGAACGATTCTTTTTTCGATTCCCGCAGCACCAGAGCCTAAAGCGCCGGCTCTGGGGAGCACGACTTACGTCACGTTTTTTACGTAAGTTACGTTTTTTACGTAAGTTACGCAAGTTACGTAAGTTACGCAAGTTGGAAGAACTATTCGAGGAGGAAGACAACGAGCTGCGGACACTTTGTGAATCAAAGCCCCGTCTTTCCTTAGCCCAGAGGGTAGATCAGGAAATCCAGCTCTGTAAAAGCTTGCCCTCTATCCCCTGCAGGGATAGCGCCACACTGTGGTGGTGGAACAAGCAAGATACGCTGCCCTTGCTATCTGACTGGGTGAAAACTACCTCTGTGGGCAGGGTTCCTCCACCCCATCTGAGAGGGTGTTCTCCACGGCTGGAGACACCTTAAGCGCTGAAAGATCCTGTATCCTTCCAGAAAAAGCAGATATGCTCATCTTTCTGCAAAAGAACTGTTAATTTTCCCTACTACTGTTTTATAATTAGTATTTTTTGTTATTTAAAAAAGGTTATTATCCCATCATTTGTTATTAGACATTGTTGGTTATTAAGTTTGTTCTTGTATTCATTTTTCATTTAAACACAGATGTTACTCCAGTTTCACATTTCCTGTGGACATCTTGATCTTGTTGAGTTTGTAAGATTGTGCAATAGTTAAGTAAATAAAGTTGATGCTGATAATCAAACTGTTTGTTCTCCTTTTTCCCCCAAATTGGAATCGAAAAAAGAATCGATAAAGAATCGAATCGTTTGATAGAATCGAAAAGGGAATCGGAATCGTGAAAATCTTTTCAATTCCCAACCCTAATCGTGTTGTTTTGTTTCATTTTAACTTTTTAAACGGAACAATACATAAGCTGGAAACTACATTAATATGATGTTTTTCTAACAATGGTAAAATCGAGAAATCTAGTAAAGTATTAAACCTAAACGTCAAGAAGTAAAATTTCATTAATAAACATTTATAAAACTAGGATTTAAAGAAAGGGAAGTTTGATAAGTCATCCTTTATAACACTTAATGAAGTACATAAATACACCCCAAAGCATTATCAAACCCTAAGATAATAAACTTGTAAGGTTATATCAACTCACCTTTTTGTAGGAAGATGTGCATTTGTGATTTGCATAGGTAATGTGATCCTTGCAGAAGATCTCCTGACAAGCATCACATCTCATTGGAAGAAAATCTGTATTAAAAGAAAAAGAAATTTTACAGGAACCAGATTAAACAAGTTCAACAACAAAAGAAGGATAATACTATATCAGATTGTACTCACCTAAACGTTTACAGGTATTCTCAGAGCAGTGCTCTCCCAAATCAGGAAACTCCATATTTAAAGGTCCTCTGGTGTAAATTAAAGGTTTCAATGCTAATAAAATAAAGAAATAATAAATAAAAAATGTATAAGAACTCAATCAGTTAGTTTTTAGGACTGGTCCATTTGAAAACAATAGGAAAGCTTCCCCATTAGTCATGAGTCACAACATTTTGAGTCTAAAGATCAATAATGAGTTTGCTAAATTATTAGCAAGCAGGCTAAGCTAACTTCGATCAGACACAGAGACAGATTACGTAATGAACAATTGCTTACATTATGTAGTACTATATTATACAAAAAGGCAACAAAAAGCTTCAAAATGGTGATAATAGACATTTTTTTCGCTTTAAGTAATAGATCTGTATTATTTTTTAAATTACAAGTTAGGACCAGAGCTAACACTTTATTTACTCAAAATTATACATAACTACAAAGATTTTTGTCAACAATTAAAAAGAAAAAACAAAAGAAAATTGTATCACTCTCGCTAAATGTCTTGAAAAAAATAATCTTGGTTATTTATTGTGTATTTGTATTCTCCCTGGTGGCTACTTTGCTATGCTAACAAGATGAACCGCTAACCAAAGCTTTTAGGTCAGGTTTACTCACCAGATTCGGCTTTCTTTTCAGTCTTTGGTCTCAAACAAAGAAATTCAATATATTCTCTCAGATAAATAAGGTAACTCTGTTTTGTTTTCCGATAGTTTTATTCCGTACTGTAGGTTCGTTGACTCCTGCTGCCTCCTTTGAGAAGCTCTTCACCTGTTTAGCTGTGTCACGTTCGCGTAGTGTCCCTTTACGTCAAGACGCCGGTGATGTCATACTTTTACGTGTGGAAGGCGTGGTTCCAAAGGCGGTCTTAGAAATAACAGGAAAACTCTGGAATAATCCAAACAGTATAGTCATGCTTATGATGTTTCCCTTTCACGTTATGTAGGAGTATAATTTAGTATATGAACTGTTACAATCAATTTACTGTATTTTGTTAATATATTATTTAATAAGTTATAACTACTTAGTTACAATACCTTCCAAAAACTCTGTTAACTTATATTTTTTATGTACTGTACAAAAATTAAGTAAAGCATATATATATATATATATATATATATATATATATATATATATATATATATAT